CTACTAGATCATCGATTTATCGGGAAGCATTTATGACATGGAGCATGAGAGGAACTATGTACTGAAATTTGAACTGACCTTGCAAACATGTCTGGGTCTGGAAGTTTGTCATGCACATTTTGTATCACCGGCGATGTCTGTGATGCATGCCCTAGCGTCACAGATATTGTGACGGCTTTCTGATGCCCATACTGCATGAGAAATACTCCCTCCGCGTGGCAAAAAACGCACCCCTTTTGCTATTCCTGCAACACAGATTTTTTTTGGAATCCAAATGCAGCATTACAACTTACACCCTTCCAGAACCAGACATATTTGCATTTGATAAAGGTAACTGCGGAAAAACTGGTGTTTGTGGATCGTTTGCTTCTCCAAGTGCGCCACCCCCTTCGCCCGCATTCGTCTCCAATGGGACTTTATGCATTGCAAATATGTCTGGGTCTTGAAACTTGTGATGCAAGGAAAGGAATAGCGAGCACGCTGTAATGCGCTGCCAAGCATGACAAGTTTTTTCGTGGTTCTGAATTGCGTCCTCCGCATGAGAAACTGCGTTTTTGCATGACAAGGAAGAGGAGCTCTATGCGGCTACGCAACACAGATTCCAGTGTCATGCCAGAGTAGCATGACAAGTCTCGCGATCTCCCAGACCCAGACATTTTTGCATTTGATAGATTTCGTCCTTTCCGGCTCCCGGTCGCCATTGGAGGTGAAAAAACCGAGGGCCTCCGCGCGGACGCTGTCCAGCAAATCCGACTTTTCGAACCCGGGGAGCTGCTCGACTTTGTGCAGTATCAAATGCAAATATGTCTGGGTCTGGAGGGTTGGAACTTGTAATGCTTGCTTTCGATACCTAGGAAATCTGTATTGCGTAACCAGCAAAAGTCGCGGCCTCTTTTGTACATACAAAAACGCAGTTTCTCATGCGGATTTCCTATGAGAAAGCGTTCTAGAAAGTTGTCATGCTGGGTTGCATTCGGGACTGTTTCTATCATCCACGTTTTAGCATCACAAGTTTCCAGACCCAGACATATTTGCATTTGATATGCAGCGTCGCGAGCAGTAGAACTCCGTGGCAGCGGGAGGCGAGGGCGGCTATCAAAGTGAAAAAAGCTCCACCTCATATTCAAAAGACAATTTGTGTTGCTGGATTTGTGTACACAAATGAGCTTTGTATTGCAGCAACAGGTTGCCGGCAGATTCTGAGCCCATGTGACTACTCACCCGGCTAGCAGATGAGCATGGGAAACAAGTCTGCCATAGGCGAAAACGGATGACAGACTCGCTTTCCAATGCGCCACATGGGTGCCGTTTGCCTTGTACGCAAGACAAAGCTGATTTGTGGTCACAAATCAGCATCACAAATTTTCTTTTCAAGATGGGGAGGGGGGATTTTTCCTTACGATAACAGCTAGCTCTTCTTCGCAGTTCGTGTAGCGGAAATCGGCAAGTAAAATGTCGAAGGTCTGGTTCGTCGGGAGCTTGTTCAATGACGTTTTGTAGTCTTGGATCTGAACCAAATTGCAGGTGTTGTCGTTTTTTTCTAAAAAAGACTTTGTGGTGTTGCTGTTGCTGCCATGGTTGTCGTCTGTGATAGAATTTTTATCGTCCGACATCAGCAAGTACTCCCTTTGGTCGCAGATCTCGCCCTCGATCGTCTGTCGCCACTGCACTTTCCCCGAGTCCAACAGCTCTTGTAACGGGGCGAGCAGATTCGCCGTTGGGTCTATGCATTGCAAATATGTCTGGGTCTGGAACGCTGGAACTTGTCATGCTAATTCTGGATAGTGCAAAAATCTGTGTTGCGTGATTACCAACAACTGCCCACTTTTGACCAAGTTGAGAGGCAGTTTCTCATGCAGACGATGCATGATAGAGGTGGCGCAGAATCTGTCATGCTAGTTCATATGTGACAGACCGCATTTGTCATGGAAAACCTGCATGACAAGTCTTGCGACCTTCCAGACCCAGACATATTTGCATTCGATAGGGTCCGTGTGGGTCACGTCGAGCTTCTTGCACTTCTTCAACAACTCCAATATCCCACAGAAAAAACCAGGCAGGGCATGTTTGTGATGCAAAAATGAATACGCAGTAAAATCTGTCATGCGCAACCCCGTAGCATGCCGTTCAGGACATGCAACACAGATTTTTTTTGTCTATTTATTGTCGCATTACAAGTTTGACCTGCCTGCTTTTTTCTGTGTGATATCCAACGAGCAGCGACCGACGGACCCGTTTGCGACCAGGACTTTCAGGCGGGGGGACATCCTGAGCAAAAACGTCCCCACACCAGAGTCAGGATGGGGATTTTGCAACACAAACCTAGGAGTTTTGGGAGTCACGCATGACAAGTTGCACTCCGCAGTGTAGTGCAGGTTAGCAAGTGCAGCCGCATCACAGATTCATTTGCTTATCCTGTTATCAGCATCACAAATTCCAAAATACGATTGGAAATGTCTACCATGGGTATGCGCATCACAAATTTCCTTGTCATTGCAAATCTGCATGACAACTCTGGGGTGGGGACGTTTTTCCTCAGGATAGGGGAACCCGTGTTGTTATTCGTGTTTATTGGCTGTGGTCCTCCTTCATCCTGTTTCGTCCCTTGCTGCACCGCATCGACGACGTAGCTAGCAATCTCGCCGAAGAGCCGTGGCCAGTTGGACACCGGCTTGTGATCTTTTTGCAAGTACTGTTCGAGGTAGGCTTGATCCAGCCCCAGCAGTGCGTTTGGACTCTCGTACAGTTCGTAGTAGTGCTCCGAAAGTTTCACGCCCAGCGGGGTCGCCGCGTGGATCTTGGGTGCAGACGTGTGGATCATCTGTTTTTGGTGAGAGAAGGTCGAACAAATGAAGCCTCTGTATTTTTGCGCGAGACAAGCACATATACTTTCACCACTCTAGTACCGACTCGTTTCTAGTATTTCGCCCTTTTATTGCAAGACCACGAGAGGTTTTTCGTAGGGGATAGGTGGAAGAAGACCGTGAAAAGTTGTTTCTTCTGCTTTGTCTCGTGTGATCAACATCAAATTAAACGGTCGTTCCCAAAAATGTGAATTATGAACACAATAGTTTGAATAGCTCATGTGGGTCGTTGTACTGGACGAAAGGTCCTCCGTATAAAATGGCTACAACTTACATCGAGAAGTTCGTACGAAAAACAAGAAGTACCGGCAGATTTTTCCCGCCGAAGTCGCTACAGAATCGGATCCCTGCGTACTGGTAAAAGTGCCGGCGGAACCCGTACCTGGACCCCGGGTTCGCGCAGTTTCCAATACTGGTCCAGGACCCGCCCAGGATAAAACTTGTCGCGAGAAAAAACTGTCACAGTCTACTCACTCTCAAGCTGTAATGCGCAACTTCCTTGAGACAGTTTTTTGTCATGCCGGAAATGCATCAAGAAAGACGTCCTTCCTTACGTGTTATCCCTTGATGTTTGAACGCATCACAGATTTTTTGTTTCTTGCTTGGCAAATTTGTATTGCTGCGTCTGCAAAGTTTTGAGACTGAGACAGTTTTTCTTGCGATAAAGTTGTGCTCCCCATCAATGGTAGGGAGGGTAAAATCGTCGTAGGCAATGTGCGGCTGAAACCCGTCCATTAGGGTGAGTACGGAGATCGAGTGCCGCCAAACATTCCCCTCAATGTCGTAGATTTTCGTTTTTTTCTCTTTCGGGTTATTTGACGATGATGAATCCACCTCCGACGGTGTACTACAATTGCTGTACCCATAGTGCACATTCACGCTGGTCGGCGACGCAAAACCTGCTAAATTTGCGTTCTTCCCAAACCCCTTTTCGCAATGCAGCGCCAGGTACAGTTGCTCTGGATGCCCCAGCAGTCGCAAATCCGGCTGGCTCAATTTCTCCGCCTTCCACTTGCAAAACGCCGCTGCCTCGAGCTGGTTCATATCAAATGCAAAAATGTTTAGGTCTGGGACGAACTTGTGATGCAAGTCTGCGATTGATGAGCGTACTTGAAAATGCAGCCACGCATCACAAATTTCTGATGTTTTGCGAATTCCGCATGTTGGGACGAGAGTGCGTTTTTGCATGACAGGCAAGAGGGCATAAGAAACCTCAGAGTTGTCATGCTAGAAAGGCATGACAAATTTAAGCATTGTTCCAGAACACCAAACAGATTTGCAGTGCATAGTTGACCTCCGCCGGCCAGTCCCACGGCATGGGGATGATGGAGAGCATGGCCCGGTAGACGAAATTTTTGTGCTTGTCCTGTTTCTTTTGCATCTGCTCGTGGTTTTTGTTCTTACCATCAAGTTGTAGTAAAACCTGGTCCAGCTCAGCTTTCGTCACGCTGCTGGTCACCGGTCTATGAACTGCAAATATGTCTGGGTCTGGAAGGTTGCAACTTGTAATGCTAATTCTGGATCGTGCAAAAATCTGTGTTGCATGAATGCCAAAAGCTGTCCAATTTTGATCTAAGTGAGAGGCAGTTTCTCATGCCGGATAGGCATGATAGAACTCTCACAGAACCTGTCATGCTAGGTCCTGCATTCCAGACGACATGGATCATGGAAAATCTGCATGACAGGCCTGGGAATCTTCCAGGCCCAGACATTTTTACATTTTATACGGTCGGCCGGTTTGCATTTCGACTTCGTTATCCGCGTCGAGCCAGAAGTGTCCAAAGGAAAAAAACTGTGTTTAGTGAACGTGTCTTGTGCCATGACTGCATGACAAATTTGCTCTGTATGACAAAGAAATCCTGTCATGCGCAGCTAGTACTCAAAAACACTCATGAAAAAAGGACATCGTGGCTGGCTAGCATGACAAGTGATAATTGTGGTACGCACTTATGCATTACAGACTCACACTTCCACACTTTTCTTCTTGCATAAGAACCGCGGCCGGTCCACGTTGAGGTCCTGGACGAACCGCCACCCTTCCTCCGTCCAGAAGTGCTTTTTTTTGTACCCGTCGTCCAACACAAATTCTAAAAACTCCGCGTTGGACACCAGCGTTTGGCTGACCTGAAACGGCAACAAACTCGCCTGCTCACTGTCAAACTCGTTGTCCCACCCGTAGAAATCCGATTCGAGGTGGTTTTTCCCGAACCTGAGCTGCACCGCGGGTTCTTCATCCTCCGTGTTCAGCAAGCTCGTCATTTTCACGGGCACCAGCGGGTTGCCGGATCTTTCGTAGTAAGAGGACGAACTTGTCTTGACTTCTGCCATCGGGTACAGCCACCGGTGTGTCTTGTTCAAGTATTGCAAGGGCATCTGGGACAGGATGGGGCAGCTGGTTTCTTGGTGGATCTTTTCGTGCTCGGCGCCCATCAGCAGAATCCAGATCATGGTATTTTGCAACTGCTTCGCAAGGGGGGCGTTGTTGGTTCCACCACCTAAGTTGCTGGTAGCGGACGTAGTTGTGCAGTACTTTATATCGAAAGGAAAAATCCCCTCTCCCCATATCGAAAAGGTATGTTTCCGATAATTTGTGTTGCTGATTTGTGACCACAAATCGGGTCTGTCTTGCAAGCAGGCACACTCAGGCTGGCCGCCACGTTATGCAGGCGATTTGTAATGCTCTGCGGCCTACAAGGTAGCCGTCTACTATGCTAGGCGCCTACACCAAAAGGCCCCCGCCTAGGCTCAGGATCTGCGTGCATTCCTCTACTGCAACACAAATTTGATTTGTGTATCCAAATCCAGCATCAGAAATTTCGTTTTGATATGGGGAGGGGGGATTTTTCCTTTTGATACTTCAAAATGTACTCCGACACGAGTTTCCCGCAAGTCGCCTTTAACAGTGGCGCGTTGTCGCGCACTTGCTGATATCAAATGCAAATATGTCTGGGTCTGGAAAGTTGGAACTTGTAATGCTAGCTTTACATTCCCGGGAAATCTGTATTGCATAACCGACAAAAGCCGCACCCATTTTTGTCATGCAAAAACGCAGTTTCTCATGCGGGCAGCATATCAGAAAGTGCTTCGGAAAGTTGTCATGCTGGTCTGCATTCGGAAGTTGTTCCATCATGCACATTTTAGCATCACGAGTTTCCAGACCCAGACATATTTGCAATTGATAGCTGATGTGGTTTTTTCATGTTGCTGTTCTTTTTTTCCACAGTCCGTTCGTCCGGTTGAAAGGCGAGGAAAGAGGTGTTGTTTTCATCTGGTGCAGTCCGTGGATTCGTCCGACCAACAGTGATATCTTCCTCCAGCACGTACTCGTCGATCAGGCGACACACCTCTTCCCGCACGGAAGCCCTGTACTGTTCCACTTCCTTCCGATAGTTCTCTTGCTGCTCCACCGAAAACCCGCACCAGTCGTAATTATCTTCCAACAGGTCGTCCCAGCTCATTTCGTCCACCCCCACTGCGAAAATCGCTTCAAATTTCTCGTGCAAGCGCTGGTTCGCACACACCCAGCCAGCGGAGATCAGTTTGTTCCAGTAAAAAACCGCAGTGTGGCCGAGATAGAAAATCAAGTGGTGTCGCAACCGCTCCGCGCGGTAGAACAGTCCGGGGGTCGTATCAAAAGGAAAAACGTCCCCACGACAGAGTCAAGATGGGGACTTTGCAACACAAACCTAGAAGTTTTGGTTCTCACGCATCACAAGTTGGAGTTCGTAGTGAAGTGCAGGGTAGCAAGGACAAACGCATCACAAATCCATCGGCCTATCCTGGTTACAGCATTACAAATTCCAAAACACGACTAAAAATACCTTTCATGGAGATGCGCATCACAAATGTTCCTGTCGTTGCAAATCTGCATGACAACCCTGGTGTGGGGACGTTTTTACAAATGATAGGTCGCGATGGTGGAGAAAAGCCGTTCGTAGATGTTGAAGGTCTGCAGGAATTGGTGCTTCAACACTTCTATCAACTGCAAATATGTCTGGGTCTGGAAACTTGTGATGCTGTTTGGCGAATGATTAGGGTGCCGCAAGTGCCGTTCCAGCATGACAAGTTTCTGATGTGGTCGGACTGTAGTCTATTCTGCATGACAAACTGCGTTTCCGCATGACAGAAAAGCGAGGCTCTTGGGTAACGTGCATGACAGACTTGAGAATCATGCTAGCTGAGGATGAAAAATCTTGCCTTCTTCGAGACCCAGACATATTTGCAGTTGATAACTTCGCGGAACCGGAGCAGCGCCTGGGTTCTCTCTTTCTTCGTCGGTGTGCGGAGGAGATTCAAGGTTTTGGCAGAAATCGCGCTCGTGGTCGATGAGCTTGTTGTTTTGTCGCTTTTCACGCTCGCTTCCGACAATTTAGATGGCGACCGGGAGGAAATCTGTTCGGGCTGATTTAGAAGTCGATTACCCGTGCCGCTCTGTGTAGTGGTACTGTTGGCCGTCACTTCCGGGCTGCTGTGGTCAAATTGCGTGAATTCATCCTGGACCGCGGCGTGGAGTGCCTTGTCGCTCTCGTACGGGAAGTACGCGATGGAGAGAAGTTTCACCAAGTCTTGCAGAGAGACGTTGTGTATCAAGTGCAAATATGTCTGGGTCTGGAA